TTTATTTTTGCTTATATGCTCAATCGAAATTGTTCTGAATGCATTAATAAAGTTCATTTGTGCAGCCTATCTTAAATAACTCAGTTAAAACTTAATAAATGCTTTATATTCGTTGGCTTTACCAAATAGGCAAGGGCTGGTATCAAATTTTACATTATCAGGTTCAGTGAATCTACAAGAAATAAAACATTGCGGTAGTATGTTGATCAGAGTCCAGAAACGTTTTCTATCTGCTGCCGGCAAAGGAAATATCACTATAAAACCTTCCTCGAATTCAATGGGTTTAAAATGGGCGTGGGTAGAAAATTGGGATTCTTACTTAGTCTTGATCCCCTCTCCTTGCAACAATATTTTTCCAAAACATTATTAATAACTTGTAGTTTGTTTTTAATTATGGATAATTTAAATTATTCCGAAAACAGTTTTTTATTACTCTTGCAAATCTTCCTTTTAACGAAAATTTTCAGTTCATTCGTCTTTAATCAGGATGACGGAGGATTCTGTCACAAGCAGCAGCCATATTATTGACTTTACTCTGCAACATGCTATTAATCTATTCTTCAAACCTGTCTCAATTCTTCGGAACATACAAAACAAATAACATTTCAAGGCCATCAATGTGATGAAATAGCTAATTTCTTTACTTGCTGCAAAAGGTAAAGACTTTCCCGATTAAGGATACTTGTTCTTTGCTGAGAATGCAATTTTAGTCCAAAATGCATGAGTGCACACAGCCACCGAACACTTAGCAATACTCATAACTGACTTTGAGAACCCCTTGTAAACAATCAGTCGAGGCAGCAGACTGTCAACCCCTTAAATGGTGAATCAGTTAAAAGGGACCAATCTTACTATCCTATTCCCCCGCTCTATCTGCTTGATTCAACACATGGTCATAATCATCATCATCATAATTACATTTACATTTAACAACCCTTTTGGGTCATACAAATGTCGGCCCAGTCAACTACAACATTAAAATTTACTGAGGTGATTTCGACATAGGTTGTAAAAGGTATCCGAATTTTCATGCATTGCAATGATCCAAACTCCTTATTTCCTTGCAGTATTTCCAGTATATATTTCAAACCATCGTATGAACAGGCCATTTTCGCCATGTTTTACAGAATGTGCAACCAGTTATTCAAAGGTGTTTCTACTTTTTTATAAGAATACTTGGCTCCAGTTCCAGCCTTGCGTTTCTTACTTTTTCGCACAAATCCAGCGTAATGTGCTTCTTATTTTTTAATGGAAATTCCTGTACATAGTAGTGTCCGGACATAAAATGTGCTTGATAAAGTAATTAATGCTTGATCGATTTCTGTTTTTCTGTTGCTAATATTTCATTTTTCAATTTTTGCTGGAATTTTATTTTCATGAGTTTTGTTGAATTGCAGTCTTTTTTCTTATCTTGTTCTTATTTTTTGGGCAAATCTCAGCCTGTTGTTTCTTAAAAGGGTTGTTCTTATAAAAAAGCGTAGAGCCTCCTTTGATATGATATGCCTGTCAAAGTATTCGGGGTATGGTATCTGGCAAATGCAGATTTCAAATTTTTCTTTCTGGACATCCAAACAAGTCAACAACTGTTCGTGTGTTCAGATTATAACTGCTTTTAATCGGAATAGATTTGAAAAACAAATATTAGATTAATCGTTAAGCATCTGGGGACTAAAATGCAAATTGATCTATTTTAATTGGACTGAGTATATACTTCCTTATTAAGGTAATGGTTGAATTTTGAAATTAAAAGTGATAGGGCACTATTGTGCTACACAAATTCCATGAATGGCAAATGGCATTTTATGGGGGTATTAATTGCATCGTCGTCTAAAAATAGTCAATATCTTGTTACAATATTGAACGAAACTTGCACTCTCATTAAGACAAACAGTGCCGATTTCTATCATGCGGAATAACAAAGTGTAAATATTGCTAGCTAATCTTATCTTAATGGCTATCAAATTGCAGGAAGGGGCATACGGCTGCTTAACTACAACCTTGAGAACAACGAACATAAACATAGCAGAGGGCTTCGTTGTCACATGTCATTGCCTCAATTAAAGGGGAAGGCAAGCAAGTATCCGGTCCTTAGTCACTCCTTATGACAACTAAGCGATTGCTGATTTAGGAAGCTACTTATCAAAATTATTGATTCTTACAGAAAGTGATAACATTGCAAAGAGGAAAAGTGCAGAGATAATATCGATCGTGACATAGCACGGATGAAAGTAATGAGTCAACATAGCAACAAAAGAAACGAACAAGATATTTAATGATTCAGAGTTTTGATAACCGGGGGGCAATTTTGCTAACATGCTCATACGTTTGAACTGATATACTCGTTTCTTTATAGGAAACAAAGTCGAAGTTGAGTATTCCACTTTTCATTTGCTTTAAAATGCTCATGACATTTCAGTCCAGAGATTCGCTTCCGTTCTAAGGTGCACTTTGGGGAAGTGTATTTTCAGTCTTTGAGTCTCAATTTTTTGCATCGAATACTGAAGCTTCTTAAATTCTTCAGATTGTCCAGTACTCGTTTCTTGTAGCGAGTTTCTTATAAAAGAAATAGTGTAACTTTTCTTAATATACATTTAAAGCCCCCACGACACACATGACAAACTTGTATGTCTGTTTTCTCGTTTACTCTTTGAATAGTGCAAAAAAAAATCAATATACGAAACATTACTAGAATTTTCCAATGAAAGTTATAAGGTAACATCGTGGACACAGTTACTCGGTAGCATCTACCTAACTTCATTAAAAGCATTAAACAGCATTAAAAGAGGCCTGTTTAAGTTAGAGCGTAGTTATATGAACTCTGCAACGCCTTAAACGAGAGGCAAATCTCTCTATTAAAATCTCGCACATCTTTGGTGAAAATCCTATTGTTTTATTAGAAAATCCATGGAAATCCTTCTGTTTTCATTGAAAACTATTTGCAAGAGTGAATTGCCACTCGGCCTAAAAACAGACTAAGATTTGACAGTGTCTTTTAAAGACATAGCTTTGCATACTTCGTCTTGCATGTTCCATACCATTCAAAATACGTCTGAATTTACTAATTTGTTACCGTAAAGCAAACTAAAGAAACTATATCAGGAACTGTCATAATACCGTGACGTAACAAAATCTCAACCCAAAAATTATTCAATGCATAATAGGCATCAAATATACGAAACGGAAAACAATTGGAATCAAATTTAACGAGCAATTAAAAACCATCAAATTGTAATAAACTATAGGACAAATATACTTGACTTCATGCTTGTGATGATAATGATGTTAGTAACAGCAACTGGGTCAAGAAAAACTACGTACCACAAGTACACTCATTTTTTATATAAGAAACTGGCTATAAGAAACGAGTACTTGAGAGTCAGAAAAAATTAAGAAACTTCAGTACTCCAAGCAAAAAAATTAAGAAACAATCAAATCGTGATAAAACTGAGAACAACGAAATTTTGTAAAATCCAAGAACATGATTGCCCTGTTGGCCTAGAACTTATGACACAAGGGATAAAAATATACTTCCCACATCTAAATACAGCATCAGAACGAAAGCGAATCTCTTGACGTGATAAAAAAGGTCACGAACCTTTCATAACATCATTCATAACATCATTCATGACATCATAATTATGAAACTCTTAAGAAACAGTGAGTATTGAAATTTCCAGAACATTAAGAAATTAGAATATTCAACATCAAATTTCTTTTTTTTTACGAAAAAATGAGTGTAGAAGGCAAAATTTCTCAAAGCAACAATTGGTAAAGCTTTCCTTATCTGTCGATGGCTTTCATTAGAGGCTTTCAAATGCCTGCTTTTCCAAAAGGGTTCGAAACATTACAAGGGAAGCAGTATAAACCAAAAAAGACCCTTTAAGGTTGGTTTGTCATGCTATATACCGTAAGGCTTGGTGTGAATCAAGGTTAAAAAATAAATTCCAATTTCGATTGACGGACATTTTCAAACAAATGACAGATAATTTGCACAATTAGCCTCCTGGCAATGGACATCCTCTACAACGAACACCCCCTTCAACGGACACCCCCTGCAACAGACACTCCCTGCAACAGACACTCCCTGCAACAGAGAGTTGGTAGCTCAGACCATATGTTGGACCAGTTTATAGAGGTTCAACTGTATGTATGGTATACTAAAGGTGCCTACTGGGAAAGTTTTCATTAAAACATCCCATTCAAAAGCTGCAACAACTGGCATCTTACAGTATCAACAAATGGGGGAATATTTCTTCATTGAAAATACAGTGATCGAAATAATGTTGAATATGGCGTACCACAAGGCTCACGCCCGTGTCTATTACTGTTTTTTCCATCAAACATTGCAAATGGTGTAGCTTCAAAAGAGTACACAACAACGAAATTTCGAAAATAAACCGAAATTATACCAAATATAAACCAACAGGACTAAAATAAAAATTATCCGGCAAAAAAGTAGTTAAGGTGTTGCAACTTCGAGCAATCAAAAGTGAAAGGACCGTTTGGATTGGCAAAAATCTTTGAGCTTAGGCCATAAGTTAAAGATTCTAAAAATCTCTATTAATTTTTCATTGAACATTATCGTATTATCTTGGCAGTCAAAGAGTTTAATATAAAAAGAGCATGTAAAATTTAGAACTCCCCTGACTTTATATCCAAGCACTTTCATTACATTAATTTGTTCAGAAAAATCAGTGCAACGCATTCGTCAGTCACAATGGTTTGCTATTACTGAACTAACCTCACAGGAATTTTCAGTTCTCCTCATGCTACAAAACTTGAAGAGTCCCTGAAGACAACATTTTTACAGTGTTTGAAGAGATTTGGATCAAGGATATGATGGCAGCTCGCCGGTTTTTCATGAAGAACCATTGGATTAGCATGTGTTTATTTGGTGCCCTAAGAAGAGGAACTAATACAGCAACAGGCAAATCACCGCGCACCTGAATGAATATATTACTTATTTGAATATAATTACTATTTAAAAGAAGCAAAATCACCTTCGTTCCAGTCCTTCTCCTTACGGTTGGTCGTATCTCCACAACTTCACTGAAATGTTTTCGTTTCCTTTGGTTAGAAGAGGCCCTTTATCCATCCCTTCTCTGTCAGATGTTTCAGATGATATCTAGAAAAAGTCAGTGAACAACCTTTAAAACTACGCATTACGGGGAAATTTTGAACTTAGAAGAGAGTTTTTGAATAACTATTAACACAATAAAGTGGATAAATATTAAACTTATAAATCCACTTTGTAGCTGTGGTGGAAGAAAGTTTAATGTGACTAGGCAACAAGGCAAGTTTCATACATTTTAAATTTCAGTTCTTGCATTCAAAAGAAAAAGTTAACTACTGTGAATAAACTCGCATCAGCTGAAGCATATTTTTGGAGGACAGGAAAAGTCTCCTTCGCATATCTATCATAAAACATTTAATAGTTTTTTCCGTAAGGGGGAGGGAAGCAAAACATTATTCTTATTAACTACCCAGTGTAACAAGACCAGTGAAACCGTCTCCTGTGTGAAAAAATTCCTGACTAGAAAAGCTCTCTTTCGAAAAATTGAATGATATTGGGTATCCATTTTCTTAAGGCTGTGGCAAATTTAGGTACTCGATACTCTTTATTTGTTACAAGTTTTTAATTTCAATGTCCTAAATTTTTAAAATAAGAGCCCCTATTTTTTTTTGCATGCTTTTGAAGATAGTAGAAGTTTGCGTCTAAAGTTTCTTGCAAATTAGCCAAACACTTTAACATAATCACAAAATGCAAGAGCTCTACTTTTTTCATAATTCTATTGTTCATAATTTTGCTTAGAGTATTGAAAATTCCTATTTTTACTGAATGTCTATTATCCAGCGCTCGTTAGCAGCTTAAAATTTCCTAAAAGTATTACTTTCCCTACCTGAACTGCACCCTTTTTTTAAAGAACGAGATTTTTGTTGGGATAATTTAAGGTCTGGGGCCTCTCAATGTTGTACATATTTCAACATTAATATATTGATGAATTGTTTTTTGGACCACCAAATAACAGAGCTGCGTAACGTTATTAGTTCCACGATTGGCCAGCTATGAAATCGGCTGTGTTTTGCTAACATTAGTAAAAATTTTGAAGAAAAAAACTTCTATCGTTTAATTTTCCACATCTTAAAGGCCCCCTTAAAGTTGGCAGAACATGCTCTTAGATTATTCATATTTTTTGACAAATCGAGCATCTGTGTTCTTATAAAGTATTTTCGTATAAATAAAGTGTGCAATAGCTGCAAGACTGGAAGGGTACGTGAAAGAAGGTGAAATCATGCTGGATTGGCTAAATGTACAGATCAAAAGACAGATATACACGAAAGAGGCACTACAATCCAATAACGAGGCTATTGTGTGTCACTAAACAGGCCTGGCAGCAATTGTAAGACTAACAGGAGGTTGAACGGGGGTGTATCCGGTATTAATGGCGACTATTTCAGAAAGAATTATTACTTTTTATGGCAAAGATAAAGCACAAGCAACAAAGCTTTGTTTTCCATGAAACAACAGACGTTATGATTTGGAACAACACCTAGTGATCTTGTTACGGCCATTCTCTCTGGAAAATAAAAAAGGCCCCTTTCTTTTCAATAAACCAACGCCTGAACGGAAGGATATCTTTGCAACCAGGAAAACATAGAAAAAAGGATATTGAAAATATATTTTGCTTCTTAAAAAGAGAATTCCTAAACCGTGCAAAATAGCAATAATATAAAAATAATTCATAAATATCAATTGTATTCTGGAAGAAAATGGCTTTCTGAAATTGAATGAAAAGGATTTGCAGGTAGCAGGAAGAAAGGCCCTCAAGAGAAACTAAACAGTACACAATTGCGTTAGATGCCCTTGGCACACAGGGGACGAGCAGCAACAAAAAGAAAATGTCTGAAAAAGTTAAAAGTCTTTGAAAATGACAACCTTGCTGCAATTAGTAACAGATAAAACCAATCGGGGAAAATGACTAAAATAATAGGTGCTGCAAATATTGAATTTGCAGGAGTTAAAAAGATTAAGAAAAAGTTCGAATAATTTTTTTGCAAGTTCTTTTCAGCTAAGGTGACGTAATAATTCACCTCAACGCGATTGGCACACACCAGGTAGCCTGCATTGTTGCAGAACGCTTTCCTAGGCCTGGGTGAGCCTGTAATATGACCCTAATGATAGCCGGTCCTCAGCTTGCAGAAATTTGCACTGAAGGAGGGGAAATATCGCAAAAATTTGCGTGGAAATGCTGTTTTATGATAAATCTATGATTAGCTTGAAAGAGAACTTTCAACTGTTAGGATGTTACTTCCATCGCAAAGAATTTTGTTCTTTGTCAAATTCCAACAAGTCAGCTTCTGACAGGAGAGCAAAGACAATCTTAACGTTATGTCCTGATTAGATCTATGATACTGAGAAAGTTTAGAGTTTCCAATTATTTTATTGAGCGTGTCTCGTGTGACAACCGTAAGAGCACGCTGAGACACGCCAGAAATCTAGTGGGGGAAAATATATTGAGGTCAGCTATAAGGTTAGAGTAAAAATTTTCTGCTAAGGTGGAAAAAGCACTGCTCCAACGTCTTCAAAAACTGATATTATGCAATAGCTAAGAACGAGTGTTTAGGAATACAGTATTATCTTAAATTGACACTTTTTGAAAGTTTAGAAAATTTTGAGCCCCCTATTTCCTATGGTTTTTGCTACCACATTCTTTCCATGATCTCAGAAAATGTTTCCCAGAGAAAATGGAAACATTTAAACCAAAATTTATCCACACATCTGCAGTTCTTTATCTTCAAACATTTTTTCAAATATCTTTAAAAGTAATTGGTAGTCAACGTAAGTATGAAAAGAAATAAAGATCATTTTTCGATGTTTGCATTGCCAATTAACGCATGAATTAATGCTGCCGTAAAAAAAAATTTAAATTCAATTAAAAAGAAGTAAAGTTCAACAGTGTGAGTGGATTTAAAACTTTAACCTAATGATTCAAACTAAGCAATGCAAAAGAAATGTGGAACAAAGGTTTTACCATTGTCGCAAATGGCTTGGAAATATGAGCATATGGAATAATGTTACTCTGTTAGATTTTGGTTTGCAAAGGACAATTTTTAAAGTAAAAATTGATAGGCGGTTGTAAATATTGACCAGACTCCTCAAATGAAGGTAAAGAGCAAGACAGACAAACCTCACAGGTGATATCAACATATAAAATATGGCGTTTCCACCTTTTTAAAAGCAACCCAAATTTGTTTTAGGAAACAGTACTCGGTTATCCAAATAAGCGTGGCGGGATATCAAACTTAAATCAACAAAACTCGACACTGACAAATCAAACGTAAATGTTTGGAAACAATGCTAACAGTAGTAATGTGACCTTCTTGTAAGCATGACTTAAGGATATATTTTCTGCCTTCAACTGGCCGTTTATGTATCTGCAGTGAACAGTAATATCAAGGTACTTTGTTAATCTTCATTCGTCCTAATTTCAGCTGGTATTTTAATTCAGCATTACCAAGTACAGCACTAATTTCTCTATAAAAAAAGCCATTAACACGTCCCTAGAACCCTGGACCAGCAGAAAAATTGGAAACGTCCATAAAAGGATCTTTGATAACCCAAAAATGGTTCTCATACAAAAATCTTGTTCTATTAAGAAAATGATTTTCAGATATACACAACTTTTTAAGATTGACACCCAGCTTCTTAAATTCATTGTTGATTTTAGTATAAAAATTTCTTAAAGGTTTTCTTTGTGATGAAGAGTTACTTTAAGAAACACAAAAACGCAACGTAAGATAAGATGGCAATAGAACACCTAATCAGTCGCAAGGAGCACTTCTTTCTGTATATCTATATCCAATAAACAGGGGATAGATGCCTAATTGGGGGAAATAATGATTTCTAATGGATTTTCGTGATCAGTGCTATAGTTTCTAAACTTTTTGGTCTTACTAGGGCTCTGTATCTTTAAGAAGGTTTCTTAAAAACAAAATCCGTGTATTTGAGAAGAAAATCATGATAAATTGAAAGGATGAAGTTGAAATGTGTGAAATTTTAGGATTCTAAATGTAAGCAGTCAAATTATTTCTTGCCTATGATGGTATAAAGATACGATAAGTAAGTTTGGTTAAAATAATTAGATATTACAATACAGAAATCGCCAAAAGAGAGACATTTAGCTTTGCTCAAACTTGAGTAGTTAATCATTAATAATAGAATTTGCTGATGACATGAAAAATTTAGATTTCAAATCTATTTGTAAATATCAAAGCCTATATAGCAACACAACGTATGGAAATCGTTCTGTTCGATTTATGGGAGACTGACTGGCGTTTTTGGGTGACAAATTGAATAAAAAGTTTTCATTGAATAAAGGCTTCCCCAACGTGTAGCTTAGACAAACCAACGTAAACTTCGAAAATTATAGAAGACTGAAAACCCCGACCCCTTTTCATTCTATAGTTGAGAAGGGTGGGGATTTTCAGCTCAGTCGGTCTAGTCTAAGCTACAATATCAACACAAATATTTTGCATGAATAATTTGATGTGAAATTAAGCAACCTGCAAAAAGCAAAATTGATGTAAAAAAGCTTTTAGCATAGACTAAACAACTATTAAATTTTACAAAAATGGTGCTTTTTTTTACAATTAATGCCTTTGAACGAATAGTTAAATGATGAAATCAAATTATTACCAATTTAAAATCAGTATAATAGGATATTGAAAAAACTATTTAAAACTGCAACCAATTTTTATAAAGCAATAGCACTATAGGCTTACTGTTGTTGTTACAAAAAGTTTATTTCTAACATTCCCTAAATTTTTAAAAATTTTGCAGAAAATACTTTCTATGTTGTCTTATGATTAGACTATTTTTTGCAAAAGCACTCTTTATTTACTGAAATAACTTTAGGGCTTAAAAACCAAAATAGAGTGAACTAAAAAATCTTGAGAAAAAATATTTGAAAAAGTGCTTTTTTCAATATTGTAATTATTCTTACAGTTGCCATTTTTATAGGCAACACTTATGTGAATGCTTTTGAGCTCGATCCCCCTAGAGCAGCCAACCCTAACATTTTTTGATCCAGAAAAGTGCTATTCGGCGAATGATGTCCACTGTTAAGATCAAAAGGCACCATTAAGACTTTGCATTTGATATGAACACTTTTTTTAAAAAAAACGAGTTATTGAAATCTTGAATCACGTCTGGAAAGTTTCACACCCTGCGCATTTCTCTGTTAAGCCAATGGAACGTAGGCCAATACAAAATACAATAAACAAACTAAGAAGATTATTTTTGCTAGCTTCAAATTTTCGATAATTATTCTGACGTATAATACTCTGAAGAGTGTCAGACTTAAAGATTTAGAATGATCTTAAGATACTAGCTCTTTTGAAAACTATTTTTAAGTTTTAGTAAAGACCTTAAGGAATTTGCTTTCTTTAAAACAATTTTCTTAGCTTTAGTATAGGTCTTGAAATTTTTGCTTTTTAAAAACCATTTTTTAACTTTGCACTGCTAAAAACTGTTAAGTCAGAACAACTACCTCACTAAAAGTTGTGAATTAATTTCAAACCAAGACCAAGGAACTCTTACATGGTTTTCAATAGAGGACTTTCTAGGGCTCTAAAAATATTAAACACTTTCATTTTTTGCCAGAGTACGCTAAATACATACTAAATGAACCATTCTAATTTATTGAATGAGATTTACCACAATCCCGAAAAATTTAATCGACCAGTCTCAATAAAAGCAAAATATTAAACCAGAGGTTGATATCAAAATAAATTGCAATTTGTTTCTTTGCACTTACACTTCATATCATATCTTATCAGCAGAAGATTTGACATCCAAAAAGCAAGCGAATAGAATTTTTTGATGGAGTCCAAGAGAGAAAACGAACTCCTTTTGTCTACACAATGGCGGATTTCTTACCAGTGTAGACAAAAGGAGTTCGTTTTCTCTCTTGGACTCCATTGGTAATTTTTCTTTAGGCTCGCGGCACTGATTGGTCAACTATACCGGTCTTGTGCTTGCGTTTTTCTGATTGGCCTATTTCGATCCACAACTGGGTTTATATTTTTCCATCGTGTTTTTTCGGAACCTATTCTGACGTTTTATGCTCTGAGGAGTGTCAGACGAAAAAGCTTTTAGTATGTCGTAAAATGTTTGCTTTTTTCAAAGCCATTTTCAAATTCTGTACCGCAAAAAAATAGTCCCTATTATCAATAATGATACTGATAAATTCCTTGATATGAAAATATTTCTTTCAGTCAACAAACTTGTCATATTAATCCGACGATTATTTCAAAAAAGTTTTTAGACAGTCTTTTCTTACGAGATCAATGCACATTCATGTTTTTTTACGAAACATTTTGATCCAACTTTTCAAATTCTTAAGAATTGCAGTAGAGATTTTGCAAGAAATATCAGATGAAATATAAACGTTCATGAAATTGAAGGCTAATTTTACATTGAAGACCCATATTGTGTTTACTCAAAAAGACCTCCTATTTTAGATCGTTACTCTTAATGCTACAAATATCATTTGATAATGTGACTTTTTTTAAAAAGTGAACAAGATTTTTACAGCCAACAATTATAATAAAAGATTCTTTAATAAGTATATCAAACTACTTTGACAGTCTCAGAAAGAAAAAATATAGCTCTACCTTGCGATGTCTCTCGCTGACAAGTATGCATGATGTAACCTAAAAAAGGGACATACGATGTAGGTTTTTTAAGCGTTCATAGGTAAAGATGCATATAATGTTTATAGAGTTCTAAAAAATTTTAAGTTCTTAAGTCATAGTTTAATTTATAATTTCTGAAAGAAATACAATTTAAATGAGCAAACATTGTCAAAAATCGAGCTTGTCGAAAAAAGGGAATTTTTTAGATAAAGCAAAAACGCAGCTATGATGAATCGCGTTGCTTTCAATCTGGCTCCAAAATAAGCAACATTTCATGAGAATTTATATCTGAAAAAATTGGATGCTATATCAAATATCGGATAATATAACGTGGGACTGAGAGATTACATTTCTCAACTTAATATTTTCCTATTGAATAAAAATCAAGGTTTGAAATATGCAAAAAAGGTAAGTTCTAATTCAACAGCAAAAAGGACAGCAAAAATATTGTAAGAAGTGTTGTTAAATGAATATATAATATTTATGCTAATTGAATCCTGCAATCTCACACGCTGGCAACGATTTCTTAGGGTATGATGGGAAGGACAAAATGCTTTGGCAATTTCATATACGAAACATTTTTAAGGATTGGGCAATTGCTGAAACTGGCAGATGCTAGGCGAGATGCAAAAACAAAAGATCGAAATATCACTTTCCAAATATCATAGGTATATTGCTTATATGTTGATGTCTTAAAATCAATGCAAGGTACGCAGATGAAATTCCAATGTATACCAGGAAGGAAATAAAGAAAACAATTTATTTCAAACATAGGCAAAAAATTTATGACCGCAGCATTAACCATTATACGTGAATATATGAATTTGTACTAGAACTATTCACATATTTATACCCAAAATAATTTAATCTTTTTTGTACTTATTTGATACGTTTGTTTAATAATATATTACCAATTTATGGATTTTTTATTAAATTTCAGTTCGAGGTAGTTGCAAAAGAATTTTTTAAAAGAAATTGCAAATTAAAGAAAGCAGAATGCTACGATTAGATTTCATTTTTAAATCAGGCTTTTATTGTGATTAATCAAACTATCTGATGCAACTAATAGGCACAAGCGCTTAACTAAAAGTTAAAGTCTAAAAAATCTAAAGAGATATCAAACCAATTGCTCTGCGTACGACTGCATTTTTATTAAGCAAAGAAAAGAAAAAATCACATATCAGTATGAATTACATAATATATTGGGTAGAATAAATATATCGCTATAGCAGCATCTTGAGTTGCTGATTTTCTTGTTCAACGTCAATGAAAATTGAAAAATAATAAATCTTTAATTTAAAAATTCAACTTTTTCGAAAGGACTCAAAATTGCAAAGGAACTAGAAAGAGCTTAGATTACTACAGACTAAATTACCATTGACTAGGGGAAAATGACAGGTGCATTGTTTATAGATCTGCAAAAAGCTTTTTACACTGTCGAGCATTCAATTTTACTTAAAAAGTTACCGTGTTATGGTATCCGTGGTGCTGAATTGAGGTGGATAAAAAGCTATTTGAAAGAGAGACGACAGTTTGTTCAGTATACCTGGAAGAGCTCTAAAGTAGAATATGTTTTGCCACAAAGATCTATTTTAGGGCCATAGTCATTTTCTGGGGGGCTAAAACCGTATAAAAGTGGGGGGGGGGCTAAACCCATATAAAAAGAGGCATGGGATCTGTTCCACCCATACACCTGGGATTTTTGCAATCAAAGACTCTAAACATAGTCATAATGTTGACAAAATTCTCCATGCAAATGGGTATTATTATTCGAAGTTTTTGTTTAAGGAAAATCATGGCAATTATAAATGAGCTGGCGGTAAGTTTCCATGGTTGCAGAATCATTGTTAGTGTTAAATGAAAATAATAATCACAAGAATCAAATGTAATATGTTCACTCCTGAAAGTTTATTATCGTCTCCTGAAACAGAATTTTTCGTTTTCAAAGACCAACGGCAAAAAGTGATATTTTTCTATTTTCTTGAATTTCTAATGGAAATTAAAATAGCTAGAGCAGCCCAGCCAAGGTAGGCACCCTTGAACCTAGTGGCCATGGCTGATTTAGTGGAGCTGCAAATACTATGGCACAAATGGGTGACAGAAAAAGGCAAAAGGGATTGAAAAATGATACAGTTGAACGGAGGTGTTGGTCAGCAGACAGATGGGTCCAAAGCAAACAAAATTTACTGTCAATGTCACAGTCTCTCAAGGAGCAAAGCTGAAAATATCTATGGGGTCACTCTTGTTGGCTGAGAAACTGCAATACAACAAAGAATGATTACAAAGATTGGGTCAAGTGGAGAGAACCAGAGTGGGCGTTTTGAATGATAGAAGAATTCGAAGAAAACTTAAGATCAAGTTGTATGAGAAAACCATCAGTGCTGTTTTATTGCATAGTGCAGAAAACTAGACACTTAACACATGGT